TTTTTTTATTTTTACTCTTACATACCTGGTTAGTAATTACCTTTTGACTAGATCAACACAACCATCAGCTTCCATAGCTTTTGATGAGCCTTCCCAGTTGAGCCTGCAGTCATGTATGCAAGGCTCTTTTGACTGTCTGCTGGCAGTTTCACATGTTGCACACCTTTACAAAAGAGTAAAGGTCCTGGGTAACACTTTCAAGAGGAGGCAAATATGGGTGAGGTCAAATGTCGAACGATTCTGTACTTCTTTGGTCAAATTGAAAAAAAACTATAGCTCTTGTTGTTTACAACAAGGTGCTAGTAGACAAAATATATGTATATACATTACCTTCTTGACCTTGAACCATAGCAAATCACCTTGCCACTTTTTAGGCCAACCATGGAGCCAACACCTGGTGGTGAAAGTAAGGATATATTTTATTCATTTGTTTAATTAACTTTGACTATTGGCTGACACGACAACTGTCAGTAAGCTAAAGAACAATACAGAGAAAAAAATTGCAGCTTTCTATGAAAATGCATATCCAAATGCTCCCTTTTCAATTCTTTCAAATGTAGAATTTGCAGTGTACCTGTTAGGCTGTTGTGGGCTTTTCCCCTTTTTTGCCATCCTATGTCATATGACGCTCCTGTCTCCACATTTTCCTGTTCACTATCATCTTTCCACAGGTTTCTTTCGCTTTCTAAGCTTTCCAGACATGATTCCTTTGCCAACTTTTCAATTTGGGGCCCTACTTCCCTATTGCGAGCCTTCAGCGTGGACTCTCCAAGTGATGGTATATTAATGGATGACAACAACTCGTTTACGCGGGTAGGACCTGTTCCTGCGTGCAGCATCCCTATAAATATGTCCATTCAACATATCAAGAAATTGGCTAGATGTTAAATGGATGCTGGAGAACAATATTTTTAGCAACGTTAAATGTAAACAAACCTGCAGCGAGCTTCGTGTTTACATTGAAAATTGGTCTCCCTCGCGTTGTTCCGGTACTACGGTGGGTCTTGTTTGTTCGACCGATATTTGTCTCTCCACACTCATAGATTGAACAGCATATGTAGAGTAGTGATCCTAGTCCAGACACTGTTTCTTTTATGCAGTCGGAGAGCCGTAGAGCTGTTCCACAGGCTTCAGAGCCTTCATCCAAAGCCTTAGCGAGGACATTTAATTCTACAACTCGACGGCCGCGAAGTGGAAATCCACTGCAGACATCCGGATCACGCACATTCTTTTCATTTTCTTGTTTTTCAAGAGCAGACCAGGAAGCTTTCAGCCAATTTGCGGCATCCTTATTGCGAATAAAAGCTTTCGCTCTGCAAAAGCGGCCCTTGTCCTTCTCACGCTAGCGGGAAGAACGGCCGCCTTCTTCGATGTCGCAATGTTATGCGCAGAAACGATTGCGCAGTGCAAAACAAGGAAATCACCTTAAGGAGGCTCGAAAGGGTTTTTTTTGACCGCGCGGAGAATGGATTCCAAGATACACGCAAGCTAATTACTCGCGAGAGAAATAAGCGATGGTGCGCGCGATCAGATCCGCAGGCGAGTTGTAAACTAACATGACCGCCATGAGCGTTCCAAAATTGCCGGTACCTCTATTGTTTCCAGCGGAAGTGATTGCTTGAGAAACAAAAATGGAAAGTTTACTTCTTGAAAGCTGGTAGGAAAATGTTCGGATGGCAGGATTCTGGCCGAAAGTGGTCAAAAAAATTTTATTTAACGAGCGAAAGGAGCATGGTGAATTCGACACCCCATCAATAAAGTCGCGTCGAGTGCATTCGGTAAATCTTACTTTGTTCCGCGAAAAATTTAAGTGGATAACTCTGAGTGCAACGATTTGTTTCGCATTGAATTTGATTCCTAATAAAATGAAATGACCGAAAACTTTCCTAAACAACTCACTGGAAGATGAAAAGGAAAATGAAATCATTCTTGGATGCAGGATTGTAAACATTGATAGTTTTGTTAACGGAAATGGAGAAGTGTAAATGTTGCCATAAAAATAAACATAATTTTCTGTAAACAAGAGATCGTAAAAATGTAGATGAGACTTTAATTCTAATTCAACCACAGACGGTAATATTAAAATAAAATAGTCATCTTAAACTTGTGAGAAAGGTTGTTGATATTTGCCTTCATAAACTGTAAATTACAACTACGAAAATGCAAACTCGCATTTGTTAAGAAAGGATTGCAAAATTTGTTTTGTTTTCCATTTAAAACGGGATAATGAAAGTTCAAGGTTATGACAGTGGCAAAGAGGAAAAAAAGAAAAATTAAGCCAAGGCTTGTTCATACCTCTAGTACCTCGAAAATTATAGAAATTCGCGAAATCTGTGACGACCAATAAATTGCTGATGTATATGAAACCCTAATTTCCGCTGAGTTTGATGCTCATGACAATCTGGAAGACGTCAAAGCAAATTATTTTCACTCCAAATTGTTTTCACTCTTCCACTTCAAATTGCATATGAACAATTATATCGGTCAATCATGGTAAATGTACATCGCCGAATGAAGCCTTCGATCAAGCCATCTTCTCGGAACAGCGACAAGATACCATCCAGACGTTCGATGGAAAGCTTCATCTTTCGACAAACATGGTCCAGAAGCTGGCAGATGCTGG